AAAAAAAAAAACATCCATGGAATGTTGTTATTTCTTGGCATTGAAGCTAACAATTTTAAGTTTGGACACTTTTGGTTCCAAAGTTGCTCCAGCAGAGTCGTCGGTACCAGAGCAATGTGGTGGTGAGCCGCTCCATTGCGCATCCAGCTGGCACATGCGCGTTGTGTTGCCGATGACGCTACGCTGGCCGATGCAGCTGTAGCGGATGACCGAGCCCACGGTTCGACGATCGCCTGAGATCTGGGCGTAGGGAGGTATGCTGGGGCGGTCGCATAGCACCACTGTTCAAAAGGATTTCGCGGAGAAAGTAAAGGACCAGTTAGCTTGGAAATGCTAAATGCAGATGGGTAAAAAAATATATCCATAGATTAGACACTAAAGAGTCACGAACTATAAAGCCACTTTTTATCCAACAAAAATGAGTTAGCGACCACTTTGCCAAATGGCTGAGAGTAGAGCTACCAAACCACATCAATTGCACTCGCCACCACGGGTACTCACAAAGGCACTTGGGCAGGGAGCGGTCCCAGGTACCGTCGCCTTGACAGGCAATGGAGCTTGTCCCGAGCAGGTAGTAACCGGCGTTGCAGCGGTATGACACGGTGGTCTGGAAGCTGTAGCGATGTGGCCCACTGGGTAGGACTTGCCGAACGCTGCTCTCCACATGACCTGGCTCGGTGCAATTCACAGCTGGGTGGACAATGACCAGACAGGAGAAAGGGGCGGGGGGGAGGATAGCACAGGTTGAACGTACAGCGTGAATTCAGACAAAAAAAACTTGTTTGGCAAGGCGATTCTCATTAGGGGACATGTAGCCTTCAGCCATCATTGGTCATCTTGATTATATTCGGCAAATATCTCCGGCCTGATTTCTGCTTTCACTATCCCCAGTATCTCGCCGACCCAATACCGTCAAAGTAGCCAGACAGACTCCGGGAATAAACATTTGCCTCATGAGAGTGAGCCTACCGCCGTGCAAAGATGTTGATGGATGGAAAATATGGCAGAAGGAAGCGGCACCGTAAGAGTTAAAAGCTTCAGATGGAGAGCATTGGAGAGGGCGGAACCGAGTGCGGTGGTGCAGCTCGGGATGAAGAGGCTGATCTTGTCAAATATATTAAAATTTACTGGATGTCAGGCTATTACTTGTGCCTGCGCCGATCTGTCTCATGCAAGCAGGATTTCATATTGTTTCAACACTGTCAACAGTTCAGTGACTAACATTCGCTGTGGAGTTTACAATGCAAATTTGAATGAAATACACAATGATGCCAGCTCTCCAAATGACTTTCTGTCGACAACCTCCAGAGGCGCCGCTATGCCCCCACACTGCCCTATTTATTTGCCAGACTCGGAATTGAGCTCATTGTATGCTAATAACTTTGCTCATTTTTACGTTGCCAGCGTGCGGCACAGCTGAAAAAAAAAAAA